AAAAACGCAGAGTGGAAGGTTGGTATAATATCACAAAATTTTTTTTTGCGCCACTACAATATAAACACAATGGTTTTTTCCTTTTTTCAATGGCAAATAAAAAAAATTACAATCAGCAGTGTCACACATCTCGTTTCGAAAGGGAAATGAAGTGTGTAGCACACGTATCTCGGCTCATGCATACATTCAAAGCTATCAAATATTTTTATTCTATAGAAATATTTATTGCAATATATTTAGCAAAAAATGAAAGTCTGTTTATAATTCGTTTTTCAAAATAAATATCGCATTCAAACACAATTCATTGTAATGACACTATCGAAACCAGTTGAAAAATTAACATAGAGCAGTTGCCGCTTTACAATGCTTCATAATTTTTTTTTCAATTTCATAGATTATTTTATTAATTTTTATTATTTAATAAATGACAAATATTTAAAAGAAAATGAAAACCTTGTCTCACTTCTTCATTGAATGAAACTACAATCCCTATTAATGAATTTTTTTTTTTAAGTTAATTAAAAAATTAAAAACAATATTAAAATCTAAAAATAAGTGAAAATAAAGAAAATAAAATAAAAACAAAAATAAAGAGCCGTCGTTAGGTGTAAAAAAAGAAATGTTATCTATCGACCTTTGTGTGTTTGTATATATTGGTACCGCTTTGCAGCGGTATAGGCGTATAAAATCACACTAGCCGCTGAGTAATTGAATTGTAATATTTATTTTATTACATAGTTCGTCACGATAATCATTTTTTTATCTTTTTTGTTCACATTCACATTGTTTTTTTTTATATTATTAAATATATAAATCTCGTACAAAATGTAATACAATAACTGTCAAGTTTAGTTTTGTTAATAGGGATTGGAATGTCTTCCATGTGGCCCGCCTGTCAAAGCGCTGTCGTCGACTTGTTCGACGGATTTGGTCCCGGTGGGTATCCTGAACAGCGTAACAATTTGTGCGTCCGACTGTGTTCATGTGCAAAAGGCATCTGTTGATTCAATCGGTAAGGGTTTGTAAATCTCCGATTTCGTCGCGATACACCATGAAACCGAGAGCTTAACGTTTAACATTTCTTGTTCGGTGCAGACTACAAAAATGATAACAAAAACAAACGCCAGTGAAAGTATTTTCCCCTTAAACGTGTAAAACACACCGCATGTGGGTGAACGTGGATGAAAAAGGCTATTGCGTGAGCGGCAAGCTTTTCGAACGACTGATGTTTTGCATTCAGTATATCAACAGCCATGAAACAACCAACAACTCTAAATTGTTCGTCCTCATTTTTTTTGTTTGAATTTACCGATATTCACACGTGAATTCAAAACCATACCAAATTCCATTAGAACTAGTGACTTGTATAAACAAATACAATTTAAGAACGAAAAAAAAAAGTTAATCGAAATTGAGATTTTCTCTTTTCAAACATATTATTTTCCGTTTGATTATTTAACTTTTCCATTTGATTTCTTGTGAGCAAATTTTCGTTTCAAGACGTTTGGTACATATTTTGAAAGTGGCATTTATTGTGTGTGATCCAAAAAGAAGTCAAACTCGATAAACGACTCATCAAACATCAAACGAAATAATATTAAATTAACTTTCATAGCAGCAAAAAAAAATTGGCAGAAAGGTAAGCACTTTTAATTTAATAACATTTGTGTCACATAAAATCAATCGGATGAAATTCAATGTGCGTTGATCATTATTGAGAGGGAAAAAAGAATGAAAAATTCTCTAATTTATTTATAATAATCTTTATTGGAAAATGACATAATTGATCCTTAAAAATATTGAATGAAAATTCAATTTTTGTTTTCTTCCGCCCCCGTTTCACTTTTTGCGTTCATAATTCCATTAACTATAGAAAACATTGTCTATTGAAAAAATGTATATATGTCGAAGTATAGAGAAACAAGCGTCAATTTTAATTCGATCGATGACAGCTTCAAATTTTTCAGCACGTAACTGTAAGTGTGTGTTGGCGAAAGAAACAAAACAAAAACAATTGCTTAAGTATTATGCTTTGATGCGAGTGGTAAAAGGTTTCAATTTTCTTCTGTTCCAAACAGCGTCACTTAAAAATACAACCGTCTTCATATCATCAACGAAAGCAGAAGCGAATTTTGAAGATAATTGTTCATTGGAAGCATAAATATTTGTGTTTTTTGAATGGGTGACCTTAATCAAATAATTTGAACATTGTACCGAATTTCTCGTGAAATTAAATCACTTTTTCACGTGTGACTGAATTTTGTAGCAAATTCGTGTGATGTGGCAAAAATCAAATTAAATTTTCATACCATTGACGCATCAAAGTTCACATATTTATCGGACAAAAAAAACCTTTTGCCAACTGAACCATTTTTCTTGAAACCCTAACTTTTAACTGTTGACTGAAGAGACGTTCCTCTTTATGAGAATGTTGAAATATGTTTGTGGTCGTCACAATTTAAATCAATCATCTTTTTGTCAAACATTTCAGTCACGCAAATTCAAACAGTAATTAAATCGACATTCTTTTCAAATGTTGCAAATCGTTTAAATACGAATCACAATGGACTTGGAGCCCATTGGCCAAAACAAAAAGCTCTCATAAAACTCTTTCAACTGATTTTACGAAGCGTAAATGTTACACCGTTTTTTGCTGCACAAATGAGGAGAAAAAATTCGCACCTAATTTGAACACATTCAGCTTCTTCCGCAGTACATTCAAAACACACCTTTTACTTTTCCGCACACACATAGTGTGAAAGGGGAAAGTATTGTAATGGGTCAAAATTTACGACATCTCAAAAACATGTTTTCTGGACGTTTCTGAGGTCAGAGAACCCGAATCAGGCCGTTTTGAGCATGGTTGTTGTGGGTCTGTTCCACGTCGTACGTCGTACGTCGTACGTCGTACGTCGTACGTCGTACGTCGTACGTTGTCCGCCGTACGCAAAATTTGTCCATCGATTATCTCACCCCCCAGAAAAGTTATTTAAAATCTGACTTCACGGGATGATTGGGGGTCCCGAGGAATAGAAATCATTAGATTTTGAGCGACTTTGGTCGATGGAAAAAAATTTCATGTCTGTAGTGATACCTATGAAAAAGAGTCCAATTTTCGTCGAAAAGTCATACTTAATGTAGACTTAAACACTCAAAAATATGTATTGGGGGGTTTTTTGGCACGAGAAAACCGAATCCGATGTTTATTTTGAGATACAATTAAGTTTTAACAGAGTTTCTTTGAAAAAATCGCGAAAAATTTAATTTTTGTATGGGAGCCATGCCTGTATGCTACCTTAATGACGTAAAAATTTGCACAGACTATTTTTCACACAAAAAAATAACATTCTGAAAGTTTGAAGAGATTTCAATCAAAATTAGGGGTACCTCTCATACAAAATTTTCAATTTTTGGATCAAAAACGAATATTTTGTATGGGAGGTGCTCTTACTTTTGCTTAAAATTTCTCCAAACCCTCCGAATGTTATTTTTTTGTGAGAAAAATAGCCTGTGCAAAGTTTCACACCATTAAGGTAGCATACAGACATGACTCCCATATAAAAATCCAGATTTTTTGTGACTTTAGTTATGAAAAGTGTTTCAAAAATAATTTTCATGGCAAAATTAACGTCAGACATATTTTTTATAGTGTTTTGTTAGAAAATAGAATACTTTCAAATGTCGTACAAATGGGTTCATCATGAAAATGTGAAAAATCTATTCTCGAGTACTTCTGCTATTAAATCAAAGAATATTTCGTTGCCAAAGTTGGAACATATTTTTTGGTCTCGGACTTTACGCCGCTTGAAAGGCTTGAAAAATCGAACAAATATTATTTTGAACTTTCTTAATAAAATACACAACTACCACAGTGCGGAAAAGTTCGTCTTACTCCCGTAAGACTCTTTATTTTGATTTCGTTTAATGTAAAAGAGAAAGGTGAACCGGTCATATCATTATAACCTGTGCTTATAAAACAAACATTAAATTAAAATTCAAATGGTAGAAAACCGACACCGTTTCCTACCCTTTTGAATAATGTACAAATTAAGCTTTGCTCGAACATGTCACAACAATTCTCCGTAATGAATCAAATCAAATCTTTTATTTCAATTGTTTAAATCGGTCAACAAAGCCCTCCCGAAAAAGGATTTTGAAATAATTTTTCAAAAATAGTCGGAAAGCTGATTTCAATTGAAAATCCCAGTACTTGTCATATGTTTTGTGTCAAAGTTTGAAAGATTTAAAAGTAAAACTGAAGACAGAATTAAAAAAACTTCACTCCCTATTCTTACTAAAATCAAATTCCATGAAGTTTTCGGCCAGGAAATCCGAATATATAAAACCAAAAGGTAACACATAACGTATTTAACAGATATATCTTCTTTTATTTTAAAATTTAACTCGAAGTTATTTCTCTCGTTATTCAATTATGTTCAGTAAATGCATAGCACACGGACATGTTTCATAATTTACAAAGAATTTGCACAAAAATTTCATTGTTGTGACATGCTCCATTTTTCACGCTTTAGAATTCTGTAGCTATTATATACATCAAAATGGAATGTTTCACCTTTCTTTCCTTTTGCACATTGCTGTCACTTTTGTCGAATTGTCGGGAATGTGAATCGTTTTACTTTCATTTTTGTCATAAATCGGTGAAAATGGTTCACCACAATAATTGTTGAGTTTTTCTGAAAATCGAAAAGGCAGCATTTTCGCCAGAAGATTTTTTTTTTCATGTACAGACATCAAGCTTCCGAAGCTTATATAAACAAAATGAAAATTTCAAATGAATCTGACATTTATTAGATGTGTATTTACTACTGAGCACGTTTGGATCAAAACTCAGTGATAAATTTCCCAGAAGGCCAGCAGATGCAAGAAAACAGAAGAAAAAAATCGAAAAACAAAAGTTTATAAAAACACAAAACTTTTACTATGTCCGTCTAGTAGTATTGTGGGAGTTTATCCAAACAGTTTTATTTTGGCACAAAAACAACGTCAAGGTATTTACTTAGAATCCGTTCAATTTTTCGCACGTAATTCTCGTACCACAGCCAAGTTTGTACCACAGATTTCGGCTCATATTTCATCTCATGACAGACCGTCTGGCACTAAGAGCTTGCTTTTTGCCTTTTCTTCGATGCGCTCATGTTCTGTTAAATGCAAATAGTTCACAGTCGAACAAAGAGAGACAAAACGAAAAAAAAAAACCTTCGCCTTGAATTTGAGACGATTTTCAAATGTAGTGTATCTAAAGTATGTGACTTGAAATTTCCATGTTTTGTGCAAACATATTTTGGGTGTAGAAGTGCTCCCATTAGCGTTAAATGTTATGTATTCGAGATAAGTGACCATTGATCGTTAAAAAAAATTCCTTTTCAACTGGCTGGTTTTCGAAGTCGTGATATTGTTATGGTTATTTCCATGTTAAATGAAAAACCACACCATTCTGATGTCCCCGCACAAGTAACACAACGCCAGTATTATTGATACTGACAACTCTGCCATGGAAAAAAATGTCGGTGACATTACGACAATCATTAGTGTTTTCACAAGAAGAAAAAAAACTTGATAATATCCGTGTATTTGTTATCTCGACGCTTGCCAAACAATATGGTTTGTACATTAATGTTATTATATCTATTAACTTCCGATTTACGTTTTGGTAGGTAATGGCTTGTCCGCCCCCAAATTCCATACATTTCAATGCTGTATACGAGCAATGAAGAGTCGACCTTTTGCATATTGTGGCGTTTGTTTTTGTCATCCATATATGATACTGTTGATAACAATTTTTATCATTATTACATAAAACATCATTAAACAAAGTTATTACCTAGGCTGGTGAACCCCTAATGCATTCTGGTGTGACCATTATTTCTTCTGCCGCAATAAGTTCAATCAAGCTTGAAAAATGGCGTACAACTTTTCTTCTATATTCAGTCAAATCTGTCTTTTATTTATTATATCTGTATTTGATGTGGAGGAATTCTTAGCAAAGCAATACATCAAATTAGCGAGTCTATCCACACATCGAACGATGTGAGTATTTTTTGCGGTATGTGTGTGTTTGTATACAAGACGTGAATTTATTTTTGCACGTGCCACGCGATTGTCGATGCTTTGTAGAGAAATGGAACCACGAATTTTAATGCAATTATTCAAAATAGCAAGAAAAAACTTTGTAGAATTCAAACAATTTAATTATCATAGATCTCTTGGTAAATAAAACCGAAAAAAGAAATCTAAAACACCCATAATCAACCTTTAAGTCAACCGCAGCGAAGTAATTTCGGCGAGTCACCTTTTAATTGAACGCACAAAATTAATGGTAACAGAAGAAATCTTGGCAGACGGTTTTCATGTTTTTTTCCTTCTTCTCATTTGTACTCTGGATCTGGAGGCTATCAATCGTACGAAATTCAACTACAAAAATGTTTGACATTTTATGGGGGAACATCGTTTGGTTTATTTCGAAAGCAGCAACATGCCAATTCATCACTCATGCACATTTGAACAAATGAAAAATTTGTTTCTCTCTTTGTGAGTTATTTTCGTATGTAATCCATAAAAAGGGTTGTACGAGCAAAATTAGTGAAATTGCTTGAATCGTGTAATGCTGTTTTGGGTTCG